ATGATTAATATTGCAAAAAAGATAATTTCATAAAGCAATGATAAATATGAAAAGAAAGATAATTCTATAAAGCAATGATAAATATGAAAAGAAAGATAATTCTATAAAACAATGATAAATATGAAAAGAAAGAAAATGTCATAAATCAATGATAAATATGAAAAGAAAGATAATTCCATAAAACAATGATAAATATGAAAAGAAAGATAATTCTATAAAGCAATGATAAATATAAAAAGAAAGATAATTCTATAAAACAATGATAAATATGAAAAGAAAGAAAATGTCATAAATCAATGATAAATATGAAAAGAAAGATAATTCTATAAAACAAAGATAAATATGAAAAGAAAGAAAATGTCATAAATCAATGATAAATATGAAAAGAAAGAGAAATCTATAAAACAATGATAAATATTAAAAGAAAGAGAAATCTATAAAACAATGATAAATATTAAAAGAAAGAAAATGTCATAAATCAATGATAAATATGAAAAGAAAGATAATTCCATAAAACAATGATAAATAAAGAAAAGAAAGAGAAATCTATAAAACAATGATAAATATGAAAAGAAAGATAATGTCATAAAACAATGATAAATATGAAAAGAAAGAAAATGTAATAAATAAATGATAAATATGAAAAGAAAGATAATGTAATAAAACAATGATTAATATTAAAAGAAAGATAATGTAATAAATCAATGATAAATATTAAAAGAAAGAGAAATCTATAAAACAATGATAAATATTAAATGAAAGAAAATGTAATAAAACAATGATAAATATGAAAAGAAAGAAAATGTTATAAAACAACGAGAAATATGAAAAGAAAGAAAATGTCATAAAGAAAAGATAAATATGAAAAGAAAGAGGATAAGTTTCATGTTAACATCAGCACCATGTTCAACTAAGAATGTGACAATTTCTATTGAGTTCATTTTGATGGCAATACTAAGAGGGCATTCATTAATATATAGAGAACTTCATATAACAATGATAAATATGAAAAGAAAGAGAATGATATAAAGAAAAGATAAATATTAAAAGAAAGAAAATGTAATAAAACAATGATAAATATGAAAAGAAGAGAATGATATAAAGAAAAGATAAATATTAAAAGAAAGATAATTCCATAAAACAATGATAAATATTAAAAAAAGATAATGTAATAAAACAATGATAAATATTAAAAGAAAGATAATGTAATAAACAATGATAAATATTAAAAGAAAGATAATGTAATAAAACAATGATAAATATTAAATGAAAGAAAATGCCATAAAACAAAGATAAATATGAAAAGAAAGAAAATCTCATAAAACAATGATAAATATGAAAAGAAATAAAATTCTATAAAACAATGATAAATATTAAAAGAAAGAAAATGTCATAAAACAATGATAAATATGAAAAGAAAGATAATGTAATAAAACAATGATAAATATGAAAAGAAATAAAATTCTATAAAACAATGATAAATATGAAAAGAAAGATAATTCCATAAAACAATGATAAATATGAAAAGAAATAAAATTCTATAAAACAATGATAAATATGAAAAGAAAGAAATGTAATAAAACAATGATAAATATTAAAAGAAAGATAATGTAATAAAACAATGATAAATATGAAAAGAAAGAAAATGTCATAAAACAAAGATAAATATGAAAAGAAAGAAAATGTCATAAAACAATGATAAATATGAAAAGAAAGATAATGTAATAAAACAATGATAAATATGAAAAGAAAGAGAAATCTATAAAACAATGATAAATATGAAAAGAAAGATAATGTAATAAAACAATGATAAATATGAAAAGAAAGATAATGTAATAAATCAATGATAAATATGAAAAGAAAGAGAAATCTATAAAACATGATAAATATTAAAAGAAAATAATGTAATAAACAAAGATAAATATTAAAAGAAAGAAAAATGTCATAAAACAATGATAAATATTAAAAGAAAGAAAATGTCATAAAACAATGATAATATGAAAAGAAAGAAAATGTCATAAAACAATGATAATATTAAAAGAAAGATAATGTAATAAAACAATGATAAATATGAAAAGAAAGATAATTCCATAAAACAATGATAAATATGAAAAGAAAGAGAAATCTATAAAACAATGATAAATATGAAAGAAAGATAATGTAATAAAACAATGATAAATATGAAAAGAAAGATTTCTATAAAACAAAGATAAATATGAAAAGAAAGAAAATGTCATAAAACAATGATAAATATGAAAAGAAAGAGAAATCTATAAAACAATGATAAATATTAAATGAAAGAAAATGAAATAAATCAATGATAAATATTAAATGAAAGAGAACTTCATATAACAATGATAAATATTAAATGAAAGAAAATCCAATAAAGCAAAGATAAATATTAAATGAAAGGAAATGTTATAAAACAACGAGAAATATGGAAAGAAAGAAAATGTTATAAAGAAAAGATAAATATGAAAAGAAAGAGAAATCTATAAAACAATGATAATATGAAAAGAAAGAGAAATATATAAAACAATGATAAATATGAAAGAAAGATAATGTAATAAAACAACGAGAAATATGGAAAGAAAGAAAATGTTATAAAGAAAAGATAAATATGAAAAGAAAGAGGATAAGTTTCATGTTAACATCAGCACCATGTTCAACTAAGAATGTGACAATTTCTATTGAGTTCATTTTGATGGCAATACTAAGAGGGCATTCATTAATATAGAGAACTTCATATAACAATGATTAATATTGCAAAAAAGATAATTTCATAAAGCATGATAAATATGAAAAGAAAGATAATTCTATAAAGCAATGATAAATATGAAAAGAAAGATAATTCTATAAAACAATGATAAATATGAAAAGAAAGAAAATGTCATAAATCAATGATAAATATGAAAAGAAAGATAATTCCATAAAACAATGATAAATATGAAAAGAAAGATAATTCTATAAAGCAATGATAATATAAAAAGAAAGATAATTCTATAAACAATGATAAATATGAAAAGAAAGAAAATGTCATAAATCAATGATAAATATGAAAAGAAAGATAATTCTATAAACAAAGATAAATATGAAAAGAAAGAAAATGTCATAAATCAATGATAAATATGAAAAGAAAGAGAAATCTATAAAACAATGATAAATATTAAAAGAAAGAGAAATCTATAAAACAATGATAAATATTAAAAGAAAGAAAATGTCATAAATCAATGATAAATATGAAAGAAAGATAATTCCATAAAACAATGATAAATATGAAAAGAAAGAGAAATCTATAAAACAATGATAAATATGAAAAGAAAGATAATGTCATAAAACAATGATAAATATGAAAAGAAAGAAAATGTAATAAATAAATGATAAATATGAAAAGAAAGATAATGTAATAAACAATGATTAATATTAAAAGAAAGATAATGTAATAAATCAATGATAAATATTAAAAGAAAGAGAAATCTATAAAACAATGATAAATATTAAATGAAAGAAAATGTAATAAAACAATGATAAATATGAAAAGAAAGAAAATGTTATAAAACAACGAGAAATATGAAAAGAAAGAAAATGTCATAAAGAAAAGATAAATATGAAAAAAGAGGATAAGTTTCATGTTAACATCAGCACCATGTTCAACTAAGAATGTGACAATTTCTATTGAGTTCATTTTGATGGCAATACTAAGAGGGCATTCATTAATATATAGAGAACTTCATATAACAATGATAAATATGAAAAGAAAGAGAATGATATAAAGAAAGATAATATTAAAAGAAAGAAAATGTAATAAAACAATGATAAATATGAAAAGAAAGAGAATGATATAAAGAAAAGATAAATATTAAAAGAAAGATAATTCCATAAAACAATGATAAATATTAAAAGAAGATAATGTAATAAAACAATGATAAATATTAAAAGAAAGATAATGTAATAAAACAATGATAAATATTAAAAGAAAGATAATGTAATAAAACAATGATAAATATTAAATGAAAGAAAATGCCATAAAACAAAGATAAATATGAAAGAAAGAAAATCTCATAAAACAATGATAAATATGAAAAGAAATAAAATTCTATAAAACAATGATATAATAAAAGAAAAAAATGTCATAAAACAATGATAAATATGAAAAGAAAGATAATGTAATAAAACAATGATAAATATGAAAAGAAATAAAATTCTATAAAACAATGATAAATATGAAAAGAAAGATAATTCCATAAAACAATGATAAATATGAAAAGAAATAAAATTCTATAAAACATGATAAATATGAAAAGAAAGAAAATGTAATAAAACAATGATAAATATTAAAAGAAAGATAATGTAATAAAACAATGATAATATGAAAAGAAAGAAAATGTCATAAAACAAAGATAAATATGAAAAGAAAGAAAATGTCATAAACAATGATAAATATGAAAAGAAAGATAATGTAATAAAACAATGATAAATGAAAAGAAAGAGAAATCTATAAAACATGATAAATATGAAAAGAAAGATAATGTAATAAAACAATGATAAATATGAAAAGAAAGATAATGTAATAAAACAATGATAAATATTAAAAGAAAGAAATGTCATAAACAATGATAAATATGAAAAGAAAGATAATGTAATAAAACAACGAGAAATATGGAAGAAAGAAAATGTATAAAGAAAAGATAAATATGAAAGAAAGAGAAATCTATAAAACAATGATAAATATGAAAAGAAAGAAAATATATAAAACATGATAAATAGAAAAGAAAGATAATGTAATAAAACAACGAGAAATATGGAAAGAAAGAAAATGTTATAAAGAAAAGATAAATATGAAAAGAAAGAGGATAAGTTTCATGTTAACATCAGCACCATGTTCAACTAAGAATGTGACAATTTCTATTGAGTTCATTTTGATGGCAATACTAAGAGGGCATTCATTAATATATAGAGAACTTCATATAACAATGATTAATATTGCAAAAAAGATAATTTCATAAAGCAATGATAAATATGAAAAGAAATAGATCATTAATTTTGTTGATATCTTCTCTATTAGAAAGTAAATATGATGCAACATCATAATTTCCGAAACGCATGCTTTCTGCTATTGAACCAAAAGTTTGTCTAAAATTTGACTTAAGGTAATCTGCAATTTCAAAATTATGGTAATCCAACGCTATATTAGTCACTCTATCAAATGATTCCCCATCTTCTATCATTTGCATAAAAATATTTCGATTCCCTCCTTGAACAGCATATTTTTGGGAATCATCAGTATAAACCGCTCCTAAATTTTTCAGGTAGCTGAAGCATAATTCTGAACCGTATTTAATTGAACAATCAAGTGGAGTGATTTCATTATCTATTTTCAGATCATCATCAAGCTTTGGGAATTTATTTTTAAGATCATCAACTTTATCCCATGCAATATAGTATAATGGAGACTCTGTTGAATATATATTGAGAATTTCTTCTTCTTTCATTTTAGGTACGAATTTTTCAAATTTGAAGCCTTTATAATGTAACAACGCAGCTAATTTCTTGTTTTCCGGTTTGGTAATATATGAAAATTCGTTTGATAACTTTAGATAAAGTTCTGCAAATAATTTAATATCTTTATCTCGAATTTCTGAAAAATTATCAATCAAATAAATTGCCGTATGGATCTTTATTTTGTTTGATTTAATTAAATCTATAATTTGCGATGATGATTCTAAAATATTATTGGAATTGACCTCCCAAATAATTTTTGAAGCTTGACTAGGGTATTTGAATACTTCAATTGGCGTAAGGTTGTTAAATTCATATTCGCTTTCATTTGTCAGTTGCCCTGAACTTGACATTTAAAAATTTTTAATACCGGCACTTTTCAAACAAAAACAAATTTAAATTTACCACAAAGGTAGTCTCACGAAAATACGTTATTTTCCCGATGCCTTGGAAGCAGCTTTGCAGGTTACCCGTAAGGTAACCAGTAGAAGTTTCTGAGCAAGGATGAAGAAGATTAAAGAGCCTTTTTATTGCAAACGCTATATTTGTAAGTGTCTTTGTAGAACTTCTCATAAATTCAAAGATTTCCAAAAACGAATTTTTCGATTTTGATATAATAAATGATATTTAAACAAATTATAGATGTGTTTGCAATTAAAAAAATCCGAGTTAACTACAATATCTTCAATTTTTGTCGTTCACTTTTTCATGTCATACTGATAGCAAGAATACTCACCCAATTTGGTTACACTTCATGATAGTTTGAAGTAAAAAAATGCCACAGTTTTTTTTATTTGATATCGTTATCTAAATTTTGTACAGAAATGAAATAAATTATAATATGAAACGTGTGTTATTATGCTTGTTGGGAAACAATCCAATACTTATGTCTGAATGAAATGATTATTTCTACGAGATTTTTCATATTCAGCTAATAATGCTATCAAAATCAAATAACAATAAAAAGTTATTTTGTACATAATGTAACTTAATCTTTAATACTATATAGAACTTCGAAATACGACTAAACGGTGCGAGTTACGCGATTAAATACCTTTTTTTCGATCGAAACTTGAAAGTGAGGATAACTCAATGGGTAGGGGTATGGGTTCGACTTTTTCTATTGGGCAACTATTTTTTTCTTTTCATTGTTTCAGCATTTTTTTATGCGATTATGCATAATTATTTGATTTCCTATATATTCAATAATAAATTTGTTCCGAACTCTTAGCAAATAAATAAATTTTTAGAATATTTAAATTTATAGCTCCCTACATTAATATAAAGTGTTCGAATAGTTCATATATAGTTTCTTTAAAAAAAAAAAAAAAAAAAAAAAAAAAGGCAGTGGGGCTTCCAGGGGCTGCGCCCCTTCTAGCCCCGAAGATGTTTAGTAAAAAATGAGGTTTTTATTCGGAAAATTGTTAGTCTTCTGGTGTGAATTCGGAGGACTCTTCTTGGATTGAGTCTTGTGGTTCATCTTCTTGAGTAGAGTCTTCTTCTTCAACATCAAAGTCATCTGGTGTATCGAACTGAATGTATGAAAGCCAAATGTTGTATGTGTTTTCCAATTGGCTTTCAAACTTGAGATACATTCCATGCATGAGTGTTATTTCAGTTTCAACGTAGAGTTGCTGACGTGGCTTGAAGACATGCATGAGAATTGGTCCTCCAAATTCGTCCTTGAAAAATTTGCAGTAGCAAACATAAACTGAGATAGAGTCTCCTTCTTCAATGTCTTCTGCTTGGTTAACGAAATGAATAGCAATTTTGCGTACTTGAATTGTGTTGTTGTCTGAGTAAAATAATGGTTTGAACTTGGGGTTGAGTGAGCTAAGACATTGCCATTTTGCTGTTTCTTGTCCGTACTCACGTTCTTCTTCGTCATCCTGATATCCATAACTCTTTAATTTGAATTCGACCCAAAACTGTTCGACTTTTTTTGCAGCTTTGGGTGGAAGACTTTCAATAAGCTGACATATAGTTCTGTCAACCATTATCTTTGTTATTGTTGGAAAATAGTTGACAATTGTGTCACCTAATTCGAATGGGTCAGGTGTTTCTTTTTGTAGTTTGGTAAAGTCTGCAAGAACTTTGTTGAGTTGTTCACAATATTCTTTGTTAAAAGTTGCAGGAACTCTTTCTTCTGGCTTTGAATTGAAGTATTCTTCAGACAATCTGAGTAGTATTTTGCGTAGTTCAGCGTTGCTGTGGTTCTTTGTAATACGGAGCTCGTTTGGTATTGTTTTTGGTAGTGAAAGTGGCTTTGGATTGAGTGAATTGTCTGTTCTGCTTGGAGAATGTGTAGATGCTGCAGTTTGATATTGAGGCTCTAAACCTGTGGGTGCTGAAAGTTTGCAAGCAATTTCTTCAGGTGAATTTGGAGCGAACACGCTAGCGAATGCCATTAGACAAAAATGAACTGTTTTTTTCGGACTACTCATAGAAAAGTTTAAAATAAACCGTTTTCGTCAACGGTAACCCCTTCTATAATTTTATTTTATTTAATAGTTACCGTTGGAAAACCGTTCCATCTCAAATATTGAATGAACTATAAACGTTTTTTGTTTTCTATATATACTTTTTTGTCCAACGGTAAAACTTTTTACACAACGGTTTTTGAGAGTCGTCGCCGTTGACTTTTTTGTAGAGCACTCAAAATAGTATAACTTTGTCCTGACAAGTAAGGGTCTATCGTCGCTACAGGAAAAGTTACAGGCGTTCCAAGGAAGTATACTTTGAGAAGCCTTTTCTCCCTTTTAAAACAAGATAGGACGGTTATTTTACAAAACTGACAACACTTTGACCGAGTAGTTTTTTGTGCTGAACAAAAAGTGTCATATAAACATCTGTCAAAAACCGCTTTTTAACTTCACTTAAAATGCCACGTAAGCTACGTAAGAATATACGTAAGAGGAAGAGAGCATTGAAACATCCAATAGTAAAACTAACACCACAACAACAGTTGCAACAACAAATGCTGAATGACCCCACTATGTTGCAACAAATGTCAAGCAATCCTATGCTTTTAAACCGAGTTGTTGGTGCACAGAGTGGAGGTTTAAGAGCGGCACTTTTAGCGAAAATGGCAGGCTATGGTGGAGCTGCAGACGGAACAGCCTATAACCCTCAAAGTCAAATGAATTTGAGTTCACTCAAAAATCAAATAACAGATGTCAAAAAGTCAAACATAGACATACAGAAACAAATAAGTGAAAACGAAAAGAAACTAGAATATGACAGACACACAAAGAAACTCAATGAGTTAAACGTAGAGAAAAAGAAGAAAGAAGAACAACTGAAAGAACTAAGTACAGAGGAATATGCGAAAAAAGTGTCAGAAAAAGCAACAGAGAAGTAGCAAAAATGGAACAAGATGTCATAAATTTGAAAAACCATACTACTCAATATAAAATACTGAAAGATGAAGAAATAAAACAAAAAGCCCTGAAGACATATATGGATAGCGATGAGTATAAAAAAGAAGTTGAAGCAAATGTAAAGGCAGAAAAACTTTTACAGTTGCAAAACCAAACCGTACAGTATGAAAACTTAGCACAAGAAAGTAAAAATAACGACGCAGCCATGCAAAAGGCAATGAAAAGCGCAGAATATATAAAAGCTAACAATGACTGGTTAGATGCCCAAGCCAACGCTAAAGCAGCCCAACTCATAGGGTCAATAAGGACAAAAATACAAGCGGATGAAGATAGTTCAAATGAAGCTTTAACAAATGCTGACTTTAAGAACGCTTCGAAGCTCTTCATAGTAAGGTGAAACAAGTGAACGACTTCTCATCTGGAAAGAAACTGAAGTCTGAAGGTTTCGACAAAGAGTTAAAAGAAGTAGCACAAAATATGACGAAAATAACAGATGCAGCAACGAGACAGGCAGTTCAAAGTGCCTATGACGCCGTTAGAGCAACTGTTGTGAAAAGTCAAGAAAAAGAGTTACAACAGACCAAAACAGACCTAGTAAATGCTTTCTTAAGAACGAAAAGTCAGGTAGGACATTACGCTGCAGATGGAACATATGTGCCAGCTGGTGGAACTTATATACCACCAAACCCTCCAAGAGAAGCACCTGCACCAGGACTACCTAACACATTTACATCGTCACATGGACACAGACACAGGCATGCACCAAAACCAACACAACAACCAACAGTTCAAAACACTGCACCACAACCAACAGTTCAAAACACTGCACCACAACCAACAGTTCAAAACACTGCACCACAACCAACAGTTCAAAACACTGCACAGCAACAACCACAAACAGAGCAAGGACATAAAAGAAGTAGAGAACAAGGAAACCAAGAATTCTTAAAAATGCTTAAAGAAGACTATGGTTACCCAGATAGTATTGACTTTAGTGACAGATATAAAGAAGCTATTAGAAAGTTCAAGGATGGAAATACTGACCCGAACCTATTTAGCTTTATGGCTCTGCACCAAAGGGGATATAATTTCAAACCTGGAAAATACAAGCTCGCTAAGGGATATGATTTAATAGCATATCATCCAAATGACATGGATGAATTTACTCCGAGATATTTGATGTCAGAGCTAAATGACAATTTAACTCTCTTCATGAAACGCGTAAAAAAAGGAGACGGAACGAAAGAAGAAAGGTTTATGAGTCCGGATGACTTAGAAAGGGAACTTGTTGAAAACGGTCTCGGAATATATGAAATGCCAGCAGATGAGGTACAAGAAACTCCACAGGAAGAACTAGTTCAGATACAACCAGACATGGAAGAAATAGTTCAGCAACAACAGCTAGAAGAGCCTGAAGGAAACGAACAAGTCACTCCTTTGGAAACTAACTTCACAGAACTAGATGAAGATTTGGAACAGCCGAAAAATCTTGACCCTCAACAAGAGTATGCGGAGAATATGGAATATTTCCAAGAGTCTAAAAAAAATTCGGCTGACATAGTAGAAGAATATCGAAAAATGTTTGCCGACATACAAAAGACTCCAACACCAGATGAAAATATTCAGCATAGAATGGAAGTACTGAAAGAAAATGTACACAAATACAACAACCCTTTTTACTTACGAGCATATAACGTTCAATCTTCGGATGAACTCGGTGAAAATAAAAGGTTAAATTTCAAGAAAACATATAGAAATGAAACATTGTTTAAAGTTCATTCAGAACCTAACCAAGATGGAAACAAACCTACTTTTGTTTCTGCAGACGATGGAACTACAATGAGATGGGGTCATAAAGCTAACCCGGATAGGTGGTTCATAAACTTACAACCACAATTCCAAGAAGTTGTAGACGCAATGGAAGTCAATGGTGAACGAGATATAGCTGGTATTTTAAGCGCGGCTTTAATGCCATTGAAAGATATGAAAGATGCAGATATTTTGAACCAGTATGAAATGAACATGGCTGATGGAAATATAACACCTGACGTTCTAGAACATTTATCTCAAAGAACTACACAGAACCATAAAGATGGTATATTTGGTGAAGAGTTTAGAAAGAAAGTTAGGGATAGAGAAGGAAGAGAACCTATTGTACATGACCTTGCAAACGAAAGTTTACAAAATGTCATAAAAACTTACTTTGCAGACAATGAACCGAGAAGGGATGAATATTTAAGAAAACTCAAATGGACAGTACCAAATGAAATGTTAGTATTGAAAAACATGTTCCTTGACAAAATAAAACCAACTACAGAAATAAACGACGCAAGACTGAAAGATTGGGTAAAAGCTTTCCCATTCACAAAAGATATAGTTGGTAACATGGAAAGAAAACCAGAATGGCTACAAAAACATATATTTGGAAACGAGCTTATTCCATATGGACAAGCTCTGTTTGAAGAGCTTGAACCAGAAACTCAGGAAAGAGTCATGCAAACAATACGCGAAAGACTCAAATACAGACTATGACAAACTCTTTCTAGGATATAGGTTACCTGAGATGGGCGACCAGAGCCAAAAGGCAAAAAGGACATGGGAAATTTGCAACATACTAGATGAACATAATGCAAAGATGCAACAACTTCAAGCAGAGGGCAATGAAGGAAAAAGAAGAGTTAAAAACTCAGTCAGGAAGAAAGTAAAGCTTGGTCCACGTGGGTTCTATTATGACATATAAATCCAACTATTCTATATTTTTACTCATATGAAATGTACGCCGCTCAGAATATAACGCCAACAGTTTTGGATGCTATGAATGGAAATGTTTCCGAATGGTATAACGAATGCGACAATGCCATTAGAAGGTCAGAAATAGTTCCTGGAACTTACGAATATACAACTGCTGTTTCTTATGGAAACGTAGGTGAGTTTGGAGAAGGTTCTTCAACAACAGTAGATATTGCTTGCGACAGGTTTCATATTATTTCTATTGACAACTCATTCTTATACGTGGAACAAGACATTGAAATAAAACCTTCTGCCAAGTTGTCTGACAAGAAAGGTTGCAATGGAATTTTCTATGTCGGATACCAATATGCTCCAGAAGTTTTCATGGGATATAAGATATATTCTAACTCTGACTTAGTTCAAACAGTAACATGGGCAAACTATGAATGGTTCGCTTTGAGAAACTCAGTACAACCACAAGCTAGAGAACAAACAGACCAGTATGCAACTATTGAAAAAATAAGAAGACTTGACCCTAACGTTCCAGGAGTTTATGTTGACCTTTCTGGACAAACTGCAGCAGCAGTAACCAAAGTAAAACTGAAACTTAGAGTTCCTTTGTCATCTTTCCTCATCTTCAGGTTTTTAAGATACTTGCCAAACTGGGCAGGAAAAATTTCTATCGAACTTACTCCAAGCAAAAATAACTTAGTCATTGCACCAACACAAGACCCATTCACTCTTACAGAAGTAGTGGGAACAAATAAAATGTCATTCGCCGACTTTTGCAAAACAAAGTTGACTTAGACTTTGGTTTCTCAAACCTCAACACTGAAGTAAACTATTATTTCAATGCTGCTGGAGATGCTTGGGACCCAGTTAAGTTCACATGCGAAAAGTTTGAATGCAAGAGAATAGAAAGCAGACTTGCAGTCTATATGTTGGACCCAGATATTTCAAATGCTTTAGCTGCCAAATATATTGCAGTTCCACTTATGTTCCCTATACACCAAATATCTGTCAAAGACTTTGCAGGTGAAGTTGGAAACCAAAGTGCTGACCCAGGTGCAAGAACAGATATTGCTTTAACAACTGCAATGAAACATGCAGATACTATGTTTGTACTGTTCAGACGAACTATAAATGACTATTCTTGTTTCTACAACCCTGGTATTAAATATCATATAAACATAGATGGCAAATATTATCCAAGAGAAGAATATTCTACAGTTGAGGATATGAGGTCATACAACTTGACATTAGATGCTATGAACTTTAACAACAACTTCACAACAACCATTAACCCTGAAATGCAAAGTTCTATTATGCCATATGTGAAAGTATGGACTCATACAGGAGGTCAAAAAACTCAATATACAAATGGAGACCGTTCAAACTTTTGGCTTGGCATTCCATTTGCTGACTCAGAAGACTTTATGGGTGGTATTTCAACTGTTGGTACAGTTCAAATACAATATACTGGTGACAGAGACGGTCCAAATGAATTGAAAGCAAAGAAGTTTACAAAACCAATAGCACTTTTCACGGAAGATGCTCTTTTGAAAATTCGTTCGATGAAACCTGCTGGGGCTCCTCAGATTGGTATAACGACAGCTTCCATCGAGCAGATTTTGGCAGCAGGTCAGTAAGTTGTTCTTGAACTGACTTCTCTCCGTCAAATATTGACAGTACGCCAGTTTTGACATAAAATTGTAAGATAAACTTACCTTTAGAAATATCTGTAAGTTTTGTTGTTATATTTTTGTCTGCTTCAAGAACTTTCACCATTTCAGTTATACCAACTTTCTTTGCTTTATGAAAATATTTTGGTTCAGCAAAGACTGCTATTCTATAACATTTACCATTGTTTGTATAAAGAACTATTCTGTCAATGTATTTGTATTGTTTGTGTGTGTAAACTTTGTTCTGCTTCAATTCGAAGAGATACTCAAATACGTCCATCTTTTTATTCTAAGTAAAATGTCATTTCCGAAAAATAGAAGCGTAAGTGTTTCAAAAGGTTTAATGGCGGTGGCAGATGTGAAGTTAAATTCACCAACTCAAACAAACAGTCAAAGTGTTGTTGTCAATGTCAAAGAAAGAGATGTTGAAGTGGGGAAACCATACGAAGACGAAGATGGTATAACAATAGTTCCTGTAAAAGAACAACCAACATACCCTGAAGTTAGCAGAGACTTAAGTTCTGTTGCAGATATTCGAAACGACTACCAACAACTTAAAGACAAACTTAAAACTCAGGAGAAGATTTGTCAAGCTTTGGGTATAATGTTAAACTTGGTCGAACACAACCCTGTAAAAGTGAACTCATATGTCATTGCACCTCATGAAGTTTTGAAAGAACTATTGAAACTTTTGACAGAGGCAGACGATATAAACATCAAAGAAATAGAACCCGACATTGCTTGCTGTGGTGTTTCATATAATGTCATTGACAAGATATACGTTATGAAAGGAGGTGAAACGTTGAACTTAAAATATAGTTTCCCAGACGTCATAAAAATATTTGACGACCACAACATTTCATTAAAATTTAGTTGCTAAGTAAATGGCAGAAGACATAGTGGTTTATACTATTACGACTAAAAACCCTGAGTCATATAATTCTATAACAACAAACTTACAAAGTCCTCAAGGACGATATTGTAAACTGACCTTAAACACAATGACGACTAAAGCCTGTTTTGCTCTTTTGACACCAGAAGACTTTGTTGTTGTGAATGGTAAAAAATACTTCTTTGAAGATACTTACTCAGATATACCACCAACAGGTTTTGTTGACTTATTTAATACTTTAAGGACGGATGTAACATGTGCTGCAACTAGAGCAGGTTTCATTATGTTTGGATGTCCGACTGAGTTTACTATAAACGATATGAGCTATAATACAAAACTTATATCTGGTTTTTACTACCAACAGTTTCCTATAACAGGAAAAGGTGTCATACAAGGAATGTCTATTCCATTGACATTAAGCACACCAATCTTATATATTGTTTCAAACTTAGGTTCAAAGTGCTATTCGAATGTCGACAGAAACTACTATGACCAAAAGATACTCATGCGTATAAACAACACTTTCTCTGCTGGTTTGCCTATTGTTCATTCGAATGCAGAGTTTTCAGCTTTAGTGAACTCAAACACTTTAGCAAACATAAACTTAACCTTAGTTGACGCAAACTTTGTTCCTGTAAAACTTTTATGTCCTATGTATTTGTCAATGACGGCAGAAAGTTTCGAATTGGAAGATGCAACTGGTGAAAGTATTGTACTACAAGAACAACTTCAACAACAAATAGCTCAAGAACAACAAATGCAACAAATGCAAGAACAACAAAGTCAAGAATAAAAAAAATATTTTTTTTTATTTTTATAAAAATGTACAGAATAGACGTTTCAGATTTTTATGACTTCCAAGCTTCAGAAATATGTGTCCATTTCGAGACTATAACAAAGCAGTCGAGAATTTGAAACGTTTAGTCATTTATGTCGACTCTGCCCCAGAATGTTATGTCATGAAAGAATGGGATGTTGTCTTTAACAAACCAAGAGCAACAATAGTTTCAGAACAAGAATGTAGACAGAAACTTAAGAAAATAAAAGTCGTACAAGTTGGTATGAAGATGTTAGATGCTTGGGATATCTTATTGTCAAAGTTAGAAGATTTTTCAGTTCGTGGTATAAAGTTCTATACACCTTCTCCAAACTTCTATTCTATCTTCACTGGATATAAATACGAACAAGTAGAATGGAAAGAAAATGTATATAGAAGCTTGGTTAGACCATGTCAAAGAAATTATATGCAATGGAAACGAAAGAGTCTATGAGTATATCTTATGTTGGTTTGCAAACATCTTACAACATCCAAGTGCTAAAAATGAAACTGCTCTCATTATAATTGGAAAACAAGGAACTGGTAAGAACACTTTCTTTACAGATATTTGTGCAAACTGTTAGAGGGCTATTCGAACCCTAATATGACAAACTTAGAAAACATCTGCGGTAAATTTAACTCTTCAATAGAGAATATGAAACTTATAGTATGTAACGAACTTCAAAGTATAGATACAACAAAAGTTTTGAACTCAGATGCTTTGAAGAGTCTTATAACAGACAAAGTTGGAGTTGTTGAAAGAAAATATAAAGACCAAAGAGTTTGTGAAAATGTTGCAAACTTCTATGGTTTCAAACAATGCTGTTCCGATGAAGTTAGAAAGTTCTGACAGAAGATATGTAGTTGTCAGAACGTCAGATTCTCATATGCAAGATACAGAATATTTTGACGACTTAGCAGAAACTTTGACACCTAACTTTTACAACCACTTGTTCTCATATTTATGACATTAGATATTTCTAAGTTCAATCCAAGACAAATTCCACATACCGAAGAGAGACAAACATTGTTAGAAGCAAACAAGAGTGTATATGAACTGTTATAGATGAGACTAACTTTGAGTGTTTAGATGAAAGGTCATTGTACGATTCGTATAAACATATTGTCAAGAATATGGTTATATGGCAGCTTCTAAACGAACATTCTTGGCAAATGTCAAAAGTCTTTTAGATGTTCAGAATGGGTATATACAAAGAAAAATTTTTCTGAGTAAATTTTAAAAAAAAATATTTTTTTATCCGATAGAAAAGATGACGAAATTCATCTCAGTAAACAAGTACATGTCAGGAGTTAAAGAAGAACTAGACCCATTCGCTTATTTGAATGTTTACTTCTACCATTTTGAAAAGTCTACATTTGACAAAGTTTGGAACATCGAACCAGTTAAGTTTGCTATTGTGACTAAAAATGGTGCGAAATTTGAAGACTTAGACATAGAAGGTTTGTTAGCAGTCAAAGAAAATTTTGACAGAAGGTTCTCAAACCTTAAAGAAGGCAAAGCATACAAACTTGTTATACCTTATGAACCAAAGAAAGCAGACGACTATGAATATTATGAGTCTAAGATAGTTGAAGTTCAAGGTAAATTGGGTAAAAAGATTTTAGAGTCTAAGCCAGTGTTTGCTCCTAAAGAGGAAGAGAACATTGACATTGACCCAGAAATGTTCTAAAAATAAAATTTTATTTTTACATGTCAAATTTCTTTCTCTGGAACTGGTTCAGGTTCTTTCTTCTCTTCTACTTTCTTTTCTACTTTCTTTTCTTTCTTTTCTCTCTTCTTCTTCTTTTCTGGTGGAGTTATGTCAAATTTGGCGAACCATATTTATGTAAAAGTTCTTTGTCCTTTAATAGCTCATCTATTCTGTTTTCTATTTCATCTTCAAGAACAGCGCATGTGTCTTCTTTGCATTCTAAGAACTTTTGTTGGACTTCATCTTTCCAATCGGCGTCATCTCTGTCAACAAGTCTGTCATTGACAAATTTTAAGACTGCTCTTTGTAATGTTTTATGGTTCTTGTCATATTCCCAGAAACAGAACTTTAGAACAAATTCACCTTTCTTGTTTACACTATGTAAGATTTTATGGTCGACAGATGTTTTGCTGTCGAAAAGTTTGTCTCGAATATAGATAGCGAAATCGCTAGACATTTTCAAAAAGATAAAAATTTTAATTTTTCTAAAAATATGTTAGAAAAAAAGTTTGCTGACATTGACAAGAAATTTGAGAATGTTTTAAACAAGAACAAGAGGAAGTTAGAAAATGCTCAGATAAAACCCATACATGACAAGTTCTTATTTGCTCAGAATGGTATAACAGGTCTAATTGCACCGCCTGGGTCGGGTAAGACTTTCACTTATCTTAAAATGGCTGCACAACAACAAGAACTAGATGAGAAGAACCCATTCTATGAGTTAGTTGTTATTTGTAGTACTTCTGGTCAATTTGACCAAACCGTCAATTCGTTCAAAGATATTATAAAGAAGTCTAAGTTAGTATGTATAAAAGACTCTGAGTTGTTAGATTGGATAAAGAAGTACCAAAGAAGAGTTTTGAAGTACAATGCTATAAATGAGTATGTCAATTCGAAGTTTAAAGACCCAAATGAGGAAATGCAGAGAATATTAGAGAAGAAACACTTCAGAAACAAACAGAAAGAGATAGAATACATTTCGAAGAAATTGCAATCTTACGATTGGAAGACTTACCCTCACAGATGTCTTCTTATTTTAGATGACTTTGCTTCTCATCCTTTGTTAAAGAATAGAGAACAAGACATGTGTCGAATTCTTAAGAAGCTCAGACACTTTAACATCTCTGTTGTCATTTGTGTACAGACAGCAAAGAGTTTAAGTAAGGATGTTAAAAGAATACTTACTGATATCATACTTTTCCCTGGATTGTCCGAAGACGATTTCATGGAACTTATGAAAGAGTCCATGGCAGGTAAGTTTGACAGACATGAACTATGGGAGAAGTACAAAGTCATACAAGACCCTCATACTTCTTTCAGAATTCATATCTACGCAAACAAAGTTCAAATTGTAAAAAGTCAAGCTTGAAAAATGTAAGTGTTTGAGTCTTAGTCTGTTGTGGTGCTGGGGTTGTCGGTTCTTCTGGCTTTGGAAGACATTCAGGAAGAGGAACGTCGGACATTCGTTTGTGTCTTAACCGTCTTTGTTCTGAAACAATATAATATTGTACTGAATAAGTACAATATTGTCTTGAAAAAGTACAACATTGTTCTGAAAAAGTACAACATTGTTCTGAAAAAGTACAACATTGTTCTGAAAAAGTTCAAGACTTGTTCTGAAAAAGTACAGCTGTACTCAAATTTGAGAGACATTGTACTGAATTTATACAACATTGTTCTGAAAAAGTACAATATTGTACTGAATTTATACAACATTGTCTTGAAAAAGTACAATATTGTACTGAATTTATACAACATTGTCTTGAAAAAGTACAATATTGTCTTGAAAAAGTACAATATTGTCTTGAAAAAGTACAATATTGTCTTGAAAAAGTACAATATTGTCTTGAAAAAGTACAATATTGTTCTGAAAAAGTACAACATTGTTCTGAAAAAGTTCAAGACTTGTTCTGAAAAAGTACAGCTGTACTCAAATTTGAGAGACATTGTACTGAATTTATACAACATTGTTCTGAAAAAGTACAATATTGTACTGAATTTATACAACATTGTCTTGAAAAAGTACAATATTGTACTGAATTTATACAACATTGTCTTGAAAAAGTACAATATTGTACTGACTCAGTATGGAGCTTGACCCTTAGACGAAGCAATTTATCTAATTGAAATTAACGAGCTTGTTAAAGACTTCCTCAGGCAGAATGTAAAAGTCAAGCTTGAAAAATAAATGGTTCATTTACTCTGCTTGTTTGAAGTTGTCAAAATACTCTGTTATTTTTTCCTTCAGTAGCGGCAAATCTTCTTTGAAGGTAAGTATTGTACAACCTTTCATATCATAGTGTGTTTGAGGTAACGTATCTTGAACTATCTGTTTAACATCTTCATTTGGTGTCATTGAAATCGGTAAGTTTTCGCGATAGAACCAATTTCTGTCAGATTTGTAAATCTTAGCAAGGTCGTAAAAGCTTTTGTTGTTTCTTCTGACTAAATGCAACATAACCATATCTCTGTCTTCTTCATTTTCCATCTCTTCAGTGTAAATCATATACTTATAGTTCTTTTCCTTTCCTTTTGGTACCGAACGTGGTATTCTTTTCTGTATGTTTTTGTCTTTTGCTTCAAGCTTGTTTTCCATCTCTTCACGTTCTTGTCTATGAATTTCGTCAAGAAGTTTACAAACATACCATGAATAGCGAGCTGAAGCCCATTGTGCCACATTATTTACGAGAAGTCTATGTACATAATATCCTCTCAAACCGTTTGGCAATTTTTCACGATTTTCATAGAGTTTTGGCGACTGGGGTTTTTCTCCCACTCGCTGTTCTTCACGATTTTCAGAAAAAAGTATGTCTCGCTGTGCTTCATTTAATAGTTCAATAGTGCTTTGGTTCCTAAACCAGTCTTTAGGAAGCTTAGTATCTGGAGCAAAACATGCTGTCAAAATACTTTGCATTTGGTACATGTCATCTTTGACCGAACGAATGAGACGTAACTGTTTGTTATACTGTATGTACTCATATTCTTCATTTATAGCTTCATGAACGATAGCAGTTGTTGTGTTCTCTGTTGTTGACATTTCTGTTCTTACATACAAAATAAAAAATAAAAAAAATAAAATTAGCGTTATTTTCTATCTTTCACAAAAGACCAAAAATAAACGCTTTACATGTATTTTTCAGCAACTTCGTCAAATAATTTTATAGCTTTATCTATCTCATCTACTTCAAACGTTTCTTTACCTTTTATGGGAGCACCATACATTTTCTCAAACTTTTCAAGTAGTTCTGTTTCAGCAGCTCTCATATCGTTAACAAACGCAACCTTAACTCTATTGACTGTAGAGTCATATCTTTGAGTTATATTAAATGTTCTTCCTATCTTATATCTCTTTGTATTGAAGTCCTTCGGTTTCTGAACGATATAAAGTAAGCCTTCACTGCAACGTTCAGTATCGAATGAACCATATGTTATGAAATTATATCCAACAACTGGGTCAATCCAGAACAAAACTATTGGTATAAGACTTTTGTCGATGAGATATGTTCTTGTTCCATAGAATCTTACCGATATCATAAGCTCAGGATTTCTTGTCAAAATTTTCTGAGTAGAAGCATTTCTAACCCAGTCGTGGGATGTTTTCTTTTCAGATAGTGTTAAAATGTCTGACAAAGAATATTTGTTGTATTTCTTTGAGTATCTTACGTTTAAATCCCCTATTCTAACCACTTTGGTGTTATTGTCTATCTTTTTAACTGTTTCAAACTCAGTGTTTGTCATTTCCTGTTCTTACATACAAAATAAAAAAAATATTTTAAAAAAACTAACTTTAATTTTATTTTGTATAAAAGATACAGTTATATCATGAAATTTGGTCATTTTACTCAGAATTCAATAAAATATATTTTAGGCGACCAGGTCACTCGGTTAAATGAACTTCTCTGAAAAAGTGTGACAACATGACATTTTGACAACAACACAGGAAATATACTTCTTCGTAAATGTTTTGTCAAGACTTCTTCGTAATGAGCGTAAATCAGACAAAAATATATTTTAGGGTAGAAGGGTATATCTACCCCGTTTTCTACCCTCATTTCTACCCCATATGTCCTTACTGAAAAAGTATGTGTTCCATATGTCATTTTACTCAGAATTTTATACAGAATTCAATAAAAATATATTTTAGGGTAGAAGGGTATATCTACCCCGTTTTCTACCCTCTTTTCTACCCCAGTTATTTTATAAGCGTTTTACATGGTATATGTTGTGATGGTTCATGACTTTAAACAGTTTTGTAGCTTCTATTTCTTCACGAAGGATATCAAAAATTTTAACTATGCCGAAGGTTTCTTTATATTTCTTCTTGACATCTGAAAGAAGGAAATCGTTAGCAGTTGGATAGTTTTTGTTCAGAAATGTCAACATGTCCATTTTATCTTCTGCTGGTTTCTCTACTTCTTTCTTTAAGTCAGTATGGTCTTTTCTCATTCTTTCTATCTCTTTGACGGAGTAGTTATATTTCCTCATTGCTGCTTTACATTTAGAACATTGTGAGTTCATTTTTGCGTTATATTCTGAAATTTGTCCTGCTAGTATGACTAAGGCGTAGATGGTTTTCTTTAACTCAAAGGTTGCTGGTTTTATCTGTTGGTTCCATACCTTACCTCTTCTATCTTTATCTCTTATCTGCAAGACACACTCAGCAACTAACGAAACAAAGTTGTCGTAGGTCTTAAACTCTTCAGATTTATATATGTCAATGACTTTGTGGTTGCAATGAAATCCAAGAAACTCATAGTTTACCTTTCGTATGAACTTCTTTATTTCTACTGAGTCAGTCAGTCTGACTTCAATTTCATCGAATTCTGGAATAGTGAGTTTTTGTTGTTGTATTTCAGGAAGTTTAGGTAGATGGTCTATAATATCTTGCATTTCATAAAGATACTGTTCATTTGTTTCATCTTTTGCACTACAGTCTAAATCTCCTTGGAGAAGTTCTTGCTTTATCTTCTGGATTTCTGTTTCGAAAGTATATGAAGAAGGAATGAAGCTTTTCATTTCTACTAACATTGAAGTTGGGTTCATGACTAACGAGTTTGGTGCTGTTGTTGCAAACATGTTCTTACAATAAAAATAAAAAATATTTTTTGGTGGGACTACCTTTATTTTATTTCAGCACAAAATGAACGAGTTTGGTTTAAAAATACGGTGGAGCCAAAAATGGCTCGACCTCAAAAACAAGCATTTTGTGAAGAATATACCAACCCGCTGTTTTCCGCGGGTTGCTTTTTTTATACAAAATTCAAGAGTTTTGTGTGTTTTCTACGAGGGTAGAAAAGAGGGTAGAAAACGGGGTAGATATACCCTTCTACCCTAAAATATATTTTTCAATACTTTTTCAGCACTTCTCCGTAGTTATATATGAAAGACAATTCGAGATAAAAGTCGTAGTACAATGGAACAATATGTTGCACACCATTTGTTGTGAACCAAACTTGAAAGTCAGAGAAACTGTTACTCGGTGGTTCATAGAATTTAGAAGCAAAGTCATAAAAGTCCTTACCAATACAAAGAAAACTATTGTTGCTTGAACTGAAACTTGCATGACACATGACATTTTGAGGGTCAAACACGTTTCTATAAACTGTCAAATCTGTTGGTGGGCGTATAAACCAGAACGGACCGTCAGGTGGTAATGGTTCGTTCTGGTTTAGTAACCGAAGAAATTGTGCCCAAGAACGTTTGTCTACTTGCCAAAATAAAAACTGTGTATCTCTTGGAGGGTTATTTTCAATCCTTTGAAATGAAACTGTGGAGTTCATCTTGTCATATTCTAGTTTCAGATAGTAAGTTCCGTTTAGTAAAGAGTCGTATTTTTCTTGAAATTCCCAGTAGTATTTGTTTATTTGAGTTTGAAAGTCATTTAGAGTCTTCTCAAGGTTTTCGTCTGAACGAATTGTAAAGATTCTCATTTCGTCAAATTTGTCTATTAGACCATCAGAACCTCTATACTGCCCATGAAAATATACTGCGAACATAAAAGCGTTCGTTCTTTTTGAAAACAAAACTCTTCTAAATCCTATTGCCTTTGCATCTGAAGGACTTTGAAGCCAACGAATTGGAAAGTCAAACCTGTAAGCACCGGATGAAATTTCTTCATCTGAAATAGTCCTACCGGCATTTGTGAAGATATAGTCTAACGGTTTTGTATCTGCTACATTTGTTCTTTGTTTTTCAACCTGAAACATTTAATATATGTAAAAATATACTGTTTTAAAAAACGTTTTAAAATGGTATGCCATTTCATATTTCTCATCTAACAAACATGTTGTCTGACTGCTTGAGGGTTAGGTTGGTACCATTCGAACTTTACACTTGCAATTCCTTCAATTGCATTCAAAATGTCTGAGT